GATTGGCACAGCGGTGGCGAAGCTCGGATGTTTGTGTTGCCCATCATACCGGTGTGCCAGCAGACGGGGAAGGAGGTTGGCGAGGTGTCGAGGCCTGTCGGTGCCATTCTGTGTGTTCCTGCAGCACGTTGTGGCGGCCCCCGTCGCTGCGAGACATGCCGGTCAGTGGTCACCATGTGCGAGGGTTAGAGTTAGGGTCAGGGGTCATCGTGTGCGAGGGTTAGAGTTAGGGTCAGGGGTCATCGTGTGCGAGGGTTAGAGTTAGGGGTCAGAGGTCACCAGGTGTGAGAGTTAGGGTCAGGGGTCACTGTGTGTGAGGGTTAGAGTTAGGGTCAGGGGTCACTGTGTGTGAGGGTTAGAGTTAGGGGTCAGAGGTCACCATGTGCGAGGGTTAGAGTTAGGGGTCAGAGTCACCAGGTGTGAGTAGTTTACGGGTCAGGGGTCATTGTGTGTGAGGGTTAGAGTTAGGGTCAGGGGTCACTGTGTGTGAGGGTTAAGAGTTAGGGTGCAAGGGGTCACCGTGTGGCGCAGGGTTAGAGTTAGGGTCAGGGGTCACCATGTGCCGAGGGTTTAGAAATTAGGGTCAGGGGTCACTCAATGTGCGCAGGGTTAGAGTTAGGCGTTCAGCAGTCCACCGTGTTCCGAGGGTTTAGCAGTTAGGGGTCAGAGCCTTCAGAGGTCACCATGTGCGAGGGTTAGAGTTAGGGTCAGCCGTAGGATTAAGAGTTAAGATTATGGTTAGAGTTAAGTGTTAGGGTTAAAGGGTAAGGTTCGAGTTAGGGTTAGAATTGCGATTCACGGTGAAGAGTTAGGGTCAAGGGTAGGATTAGGTTTATGGTTATAGTTGGAGTTAGGGTTAGGTGTAGGGCTAGGGTTAGGGTTAGGGTTAGGGTTAGGGTAAGTATAATGGTTAAACTATGTACTATGGTTAGGGTCGGGATTAGAGTTGTTGTTACGGTTAGCATTGGTATTGTGGCTATCATTATGAATAGGATTAGGATTAGGATGAGGTGACCAGGATGAGGTAAAATATATTACTGATTGTGACATGAGAATTCAGCCCTCCAAGATAAGGTCAGGTAAAGACAGCACTAATCTTCAGCACAACTTTAACCTTACCCCTAATCCTATCCGCAACTGTAAACTTACCCCTAATCCTCTTCTCATGACTCACGCACCAAAACGCACCAAAACGCACCACTCTTCTCATGGTCCTAACCATAATTCTAACCTTACAAGTTACCCCTATTTCCGATCTTCACGCTAACACCATAGCAAGTAATCAAGAGCTAATAATACCTCTAGAGGTATCATTAGCTCTTGAAGTAATGTATATTCGAGGATATCTGAGCTAGCTGATGTAAAACACATTGCGCATCATGTTTTGAGTTGATGGAGTTTGTTGAGAGTCATGATGTCCTGAGTTTGATCATCATGTTCACTTGTGAGTAGATGGTGAGTTAAGCATAGTATTCGCTACTAAAGATCATGGGCCCGTTGTCAGAAACAAAATTGGTCTTAACATTAGTCTTAACATGAACTTTTTCTCTAAGTAGACCGTTGACAGAAACGCTGCCAAGTTACGAGAATGAAAAATCGAAGCAGATTTCCTCATAACAATACGAAACAAAGTGATGTCGACAGTCTAGGAGAAATTGTTAATGTTAAGACTAATGTTAAGACTATTTTTGTTTCTGACAATGGGCCCCAGGCGAATACAATTCTAACCTTCAGCCTAACACCATGGCGGATGATGTATGTTTCAGGATGAGGTGAGCAAGGCAAGGCACTCTGTCCGTGTGTCCCTCTACGACAGCCTCTACCGACAATTCATCGGGAGGACATGGTGCAGCGCCGAGGTTGCCCGCGGCGACGGCCAATCACCAAGACTCGTCTACAACCAGGTGAGATCGCGGTGTCTTCTCACCGCTGATCCTGTCACACTTCCTTCCTTCCCTCCCTAGGCCGACTCTGCTATGGGACGAGTCTGTATGCTATGGGCCGACTCTGCTATGGGCCGACTCTGCTATGGGACGAGTCTGTATAGGCCGACTCCGTATAGGCCAAAAACGTTATGGTCCGAGTCGACCCGGACTACGATGTTTACGTTTGTACCAAAGATTCTAGAGTGCCGTAGGCTCAGATAGACTCGTTCACTCTACGATCTTTGGTTTGTACCGAGCAAATTATGTACCTTCCATAGACTGGTACGTTTTGTCTACACTTTGTTAAAGTCTTCATATTTAGTATGATTATATCATATATAGAGCAGAGACCGTGTCCAACTAGCCTCTCTCATGAGGCGGGGCCTAGTAGTTGTAAACTCGGAAATGTTTCGAACACTAGAGATATGTGATCTCATAAACTCATCCAGTTCGCAGGCGTAAAATAAAGTGAGCAACGTGCGAATTTGGTGCTCATGCGTTTTCTAACTGCTAGTCTTAGCATGCGTGCGCACGGACACTTAGAACGTTTCAGTGATAAAATTATGGAAAATGTACACTGAGTGCGTCACGTCTCGGCGTTTCGTCGTTCCGCGTCTGCGGACCTGTAGCGTCTTTGTTTACACCATGGTGGTCACCGTCACGAAAAAGCAGAACTGGCATAAGTTTGTTGAAAATACACCAATCCTACCTCCTGCATGGGACAGACAACAAATCCGTACGAATGCCACGATTCCATTCTGCCTGAATATTAAACAATTAGATGGACTTAACCTCAAGGTAAACATCTTTATGTGTGGAAAGTTTGCGTGGTGCATAGCTCTAGTACTATATATAGCCCGCGTACAGGTCAGTTGCCACTGGCAGCGGCTAGCGGCGGCCACGGCCACGTAAACGGCCAGCAGCGGCGGCCACCAGCGGCAACTGTACGCAGGCTATAGTACTAGAGCTACGTGGTGCAGTGCTAGTATTGGCAGTAATGCGAGTACTAGCCTATTGCTAAGTAATGACAATGCTAAGTAAGATTACTCAGTTACTGTCTCAGTGTCTGTGCCAGTGGCACCACAGCCAGTGCCGCTCATACTCATACTCATAGGGTCTATGTCCCCCAGGGTACTGCCGGAACGTACCCCGGGTACGGTCCGGTATACCGCAACGTACCCTGGTACTAAATACTACTATCTAATATGCCGGACCTTACCTCGCCTACTCCATTAACGAGTCTAGGGAGTCGCCTACGCCTACTCCCTAACCATAACCCTAACACTAACCCTAACCCTAACACTAACCCTAACCCTAACACTAACCCTAACCCTAACACTAACCCTAACCCTAACACTAACCCTAACCCTAACCCTAACCCTAACCATATCAGCTAGATATAGTTACCAAGGTACGTTCTGGCAGTACCTTGGGGGACATAGACCCTATGAGCGCCAGTGCCACTTTAACTTCGGCCGTGTCAGTGATGATAGTAAATAAACACAAATTGCATTTAGTACCAAAGTCTTAATGTTTATGGACTCTCTATCGCCAAATAATTGGTATGTAAATGTCATTCAACTCTTCCAACATCTTGCAAATCCCTATAGAAAACTCATTTCAAGGTAATGTAAATGGGAACAATCGACTGTTTATTATTCGAAACTTCTTATCAGCAAGATTCTATTGTTTGGCCAATGAACATAGTCGTGTATACCACTTCATACTAGCAGCATTATCAAGTTGCCCCCCCCCCCAACACTTATGGTACAGTATGCACGTACACGTACACAAACACATACTCACACACTCTCTCTCTCTCTCTCTGTCGTGCTCTCCTCTCTCACATCACACACGACACTACGACACACAGCACACACAGCACATCACGACACAACACAACACACACACTCACGCACGGCACCGCGCACATGCATGCGCGCACAGATGAATTGGCTTGTCATGCTTTCCCCACCTACTCTATCTTTCTGTGAGTTTGTGCAGAGCAGTGTGCATTCAATGAGGTTGTGTGTTGAAGAGGAGCCTTTGACTAGCATTTATGTGGAATTATTATATATGCAAACATGAATTCTTGTTGGTAAATACAATTTTTAAGTTTCTGGCCATTGATTTTAGTTCAAGTAAAACGGTATCATTCGCGGAGCTAGTTAAGTTGTTACACTATGTAGAGCGCCTATCAAATAGGTCCTGCATCAATTTCACTACTATAATACACATTTCACTTGCCATCTGGTGATTTTAGCAACAGCTGGTCATCGGTTGGTGTTCTGAATTTCAACTGGAAGCCATCATGTTATCTTCCAGTGTGCAAAAATGATACATTTTGACATCTAAAAGACATATTTTTAGCTCATCTGCACAGGACTGAGTCAGTGCAGCTTGGTAGAATCGGCCATGATCGTCCGTCCCGTGGCCGTCCGTCGAGAGTGCAACTCCGTGCGTCCGTGCCCGTCGAACGCAAGTTGGGCACAAATCGTTAACCGCTGTCGACGTACGGGTCACGATATTCGGCGATTTGGGGGGGTAATGCCGAAAACCGAGTTGGGATGTCGAGAGCTGGGGGGTACAAGGTCAAAGGTCAAGAGTGTAAAGAGAAGTGGAACATTCAGCTCCTTATACTGTAAGGTATAAGGGAGGAAATGCAGAATTGCGGCCGCAAATCTAAAACGGCTCGACCTAGGCTCCGTGATCGTCGGTGTATAGCATCATGGTAGGAAAAGCGCATCACTGGTGCGCGAAATTGGATGGTCACCAGGTCAAGGTCAATGGGCACGGGCAGATTCTTAGACATGTTTCTGAGGACATGGTCTGACGGAGCGATTGAAAAACTTTTTTGTTTCAGCGTGACCTAGATGCAGTTTTTGATGGCATATTATTGAAAGGACCATGAATCATACTTCTGCTCGACCGATGCGAAAGATAAGTGGTCAGATAACGATTTTGTGACCCGCTCAGCGAGCGAGGGCTTTAAAACATGGACTTTGTTGACTGTCTGATTAAAGAATTTGAACCTGCGCGATTTGCTAGTAGAGGATCTATACATGCCATGGCATGTAAATGAAGCCGCTACAATGTCACAGTGAAATTTTAAAAGCTACATTTGGTTAAAGAAGGTTTTAATGCTCGTTAAATCGTATTAATTAATGGCGAGTTCTGTTACTGTCCGTATGTTAGCATGTAACGTAATGTTCTCACTGCCCAGTGGCTACTGGCCAGTGCAGTGTGTTGGGTACTGTGGAGTTTTTGCCTTAATTGGTTACAGGTGGGCAGCTGCTCTATTAGGGCGCAGCTGTAGGCTTGCGTAGGTAAATGGATGAGCTGGCTTACCTATTCTGTCTTGGCAGATTAGTTTGTTGCTACTGTACGTATGATGGGAGGCTTTCCATCTTTAACTGCTGAAAGACTACAGCTAAACGTAGCGCAGGCCATCGTCTCGTGGCAGACTTTCATAACGAAGCGATCCAACGAACATTCTTTGAGAAGGTTTCCTGATGACGCATCACTGTGCATTCCACTGTTTAGTCGGCGTGTATCCTGAACCACATTATGGGGACTAAACGAGGGTTTTTAAGCTAGAAATCGCCACCGACTCCTCCACCACAGAGTCACCGCACGTAGACGTTAGTGATGAAAGCGCTGGCGCTGCCTGGGGCGGCAACTTGTTTTATGTGTGAATGTGATGGTAAAACAACTCAGTAGTCAGTGAGTCTTTAAAACGATATTAGTTTCGAAAATTAATACACGAAAGGTTAGTATAATCATTTGAAGTGTTCATGTATACTAAATGCACATATGGTATATAATACATGTGCGTGTTTGTGTGTGCATGCATGTGCGTGCGCATGCGTCTGCGCATGCGTGTGTGTGTAATTCACAACTTATTGCATGTATAAAAAAATTCTTAATAGTATTAACGAATATATTTAGTATTGTAATGAGTAGTGCAAACATTTACTACAATAACGAGATATAATAGTGTAGAATAGATGTGCAATAACTTAATATACTGCACAAAAGGTGGCGCCAAACCTGAATAAGACACGAGCCAGTCCTCAGATTGTCGGCACTATCTCGGCCTGCAGCGGGCGTGTGCCACTCGAAGCCTGTGATTTATTGATCGCAACACACGCCCTGTTGCGCGGAGCCGGCACACACTGCCATTTTCTCCTCCTCCGCCACTCAATGCTGTATGGTGATTAGGATAGTGCACCCTTGATTACCTGAGCGGGAGCGAGCAGCGGCAGACAGGAATAGTGAGCATAAAGTTAATACCCGAGGCCAGCCCTGCGGCTAGACCATACTCAGCAATCGGAGTATCAGGAACAGTTCTCAATGTGGTTGTGAAGAGAGAGAGAGAGTGAGAGAGAGAAAGAGAGAGAGAGAGAGAGAGACAGAAAGAAGAGAGACCGAGAGAGAGACCAGAGAGAGAACGAGAGAGACGAGAGAGAGAGAGAGAAGAGAGAGGAGAGAGAGAGAGACAGGCGAGAGAAGAGAGGAAAGAAAGAGAGAGAGAGAGAGAGAGAGAGAGACGAGAGAGAGAGAGAGAGAGAGTAGAGAGAGAGAGCAGAGAGAAGAAGAGGAGCAGAGAGAGAGAGAGAGTAGAGAGAAAGAAGGAGAGATCGAGCAGAGTAGGCCAGGACAAAATACAGAAAGAGAGAGAAAGAGAGAGAGAGAGAGAGAGAAGAATGTGTACGAGGCATTGCATTCAACATCTACTTCGATAATTGATAACTTCGCCGACGAATCTGCATCATTGAGTCGCCTTGCCGTGTCAACACCCAGACGCCTAATCGCACGCTTAGACATCAGTCAAGAGTCAGTGGCGGCGCATGGCGGAGCCGACTGACACACGGGCGTGGGCACACGCGGTGGCAAGCTGGGAGCGTGCCCTCATACGGTGGCTGCCAGCGAGAGGGAAAGGAGGTTGGCGAGGTGTCGAGGCCTGCTCGGTGCCATTCTGCTGTTGTTCCTGCAGCACGCCTGTGCGGCCCCGTCGGTGCGAGACGTGTCCGGTCAGTCGGTCACGTGTGCGATGGGTTAGAGTTAGGGTCAGGGTGCCACACCGAGGTGCGAGGGTTAGAGTTTTAGGGTTCCAGAAGGCTCAATCGTGTGCGAGGTTAGAGTTAGGGGTCAGAGGTCACCAGGTGTGCAGAGTTAGGGTCAGGGGGCACTGGTGTGTGAGGGTTAGAGTAGGGTCGCAGGGTCACTGGTGTGTGAGGTGTTAGAGTTAGGGTCAGAGGTCACCGTGTGTCGAGGGTTAGATTTAGGGGTCCAGAGGTGCCGACTCAGGTGTTGAGAGTTAGGGTCAGGGTCATTGTGTGTGAAGGTTAGAGTGTTATGGTGCAGGGTCAAGCTGGTTGTGTGAGGGTTAGAGGTAGGGTTCAGGGGTCACCGTGTGCGAGGGTTCAGAGTTCAGGGTCCGCAGGGGTCACCATGTGAGAGGTTAGAAAAGTTAAGGGTCAGGGGTCACCATGTGCGAGGGCTTAGAGTTAGGGTCAGCAGTCCACCGTGTTTCGAGGGTTTAGAGTTAGGGGTCAGAGCTTGCAGAGGTCAAGCATGTGGCGAGGGTTAGGAGTTAGGTCATGCCGCTAGGATTAGGAGTTAAGATTATGGTTAGAGTTAAGTGTTAGGGTTAATGGGTAACGGTTCGAGTTAGGGTTAGTACATTGCGATCACGTGAAGAGTTTTAAGGGTTTCAAGGGTAGAGTTAGGTTTATTGGTTATAAGTTGATGTTAGGAGTTAGGTGTAGGCTAAGGGTTAGGTTAGGGTTAGGGATAAGTATAATGGTTAAAGCTATGTACTATGGTTAGGGTCGGATTAAGTGTTGTTACGGTTGACATTGTATTGTGGCTATCATTATGAATAGGGTTTAGGATTAGGAATGAGGTGACCAGGATGAGGTAAATTATATATTTACTGATTGTGACATGTAGAATAAGCCGCTCCAAGGACTAAGGTCAGAGTAAAGACATCACTTAATTCTTCAGCACTAACTTTAACCTTACTCCTAGATCCCTATCCGGCCAATCTGTTAAACTTACCCCTAGATGCCTCTTCTCATCGACTCACGCACTGCACAAAACGCACACAAAACGGCACCAACTCTTCTCATGGTCGCTAAGCCATTAATCCTATACCTTACAAGGTTACCCCTATTTCCCGATCTTCCACGCTAACATCCATAGCGGAAGTAATACAGAGCTACTAATACCGAGGTATTATTAGCTCTTGAAGTAATGTATATTATATATATTCTAAGGATGGAATAATCTGAGCTAGCTGTATGTAAAACACATTGCGACATGGCCTGGAGGATTTGATCATCATGTTTCACTTGTGAGCTAGACTGAGTGAGTTAAGGTCATAGTGATTCGCTACTAAAGATCATGGGCCCGGTTGTCAGAGAAAAATCAAAATTGGTCAGTTAACATTAGTCTTAACATGAACTTTTTCTCATAAGTAGACCGTTTGACAAAGACGCTGGCAAGTTACGAGAATGAAAATCGTAGCAAGATTTCCTGCATAACAATACGAAACAAAGTGATGTTCGACAGGGTCCTACGGAGAAATTGTTAATGTTAATTAACTATATGTTAAGACTAATTTTTCGTTTCGTGACAATGGCCCCAGGCTGAATACAATTCTAACCTTACAGGACTAACACCATGGCGGATGATGTATGTTTCAGGATGAGGTTAGCGCCAAGGCAAGGCACTCCTGTCCGTGTTGTCCTCTAGCGAAGGCCTCTACCGGACATTCATATCCGGGAGGACTATGGTGAGCAGCGCGAGGTTGCGCGCGCGACGGGCCAATCAACCAAGACTCGTCTAGCAACCAGTGTGAGAGTCCGGTGTCTTCGTCACGGCGGCTGATCCTGTCAGCACTTCTTCCTTCCCATCGGCCTGCGCTCCCACGCTTCCTTCGCGCTTTTCGCCTCCCTCCGCTCACCTTCCTTTCTCCCTCCCTGGCGCTTTCGCTCCTACCTCCCTTCCCTCCCCCCTCCTCACGCTCGCCGTCCGTCGCCTCCGCAGACCTTCCTTCCCTCCTTCCCTCCCCAATCCTCCTTTCCTTCGCTCGCCTCCCTCGTCTTCCTGTCCCTGCCCTCAGCCTCCACCTTCCTTCCATCACTCCCTCCTTCCCTTCCTTCCTCCCTCCCTCCCTCCCTGCCCCTCCCTCCTTCCCTCCGCTCTCTCGGCCCTCCCGCTGCCTTCCTCGCTCCCTCCCTCCCCTACCCTCCTCCACCGTCTTCCTTCCCATCCCTCCCTCCGCTCAGCCTCCCTCCTTGCTTTCCCTTGTCTCGGCTGCCCGTCCCTTCCACGCTTCACCTTCTCTGCTCCCTCCCTCCGCCCCTCGCTTCCAGCTCTCCCTCTGTCTCGTCCCTGCCGTCCCTCCAACCTTCCTTCCCTTCCTCCCTCCCTCCATTCCTCCCGCTCCCTCTTTGCCCGTCCCTTCGCTCCTCCTCCCACCTTCGCTTCCGCATCGTTTTCTTCCCACCGGACTCCTTCCGCTTCGCTCTCGTCCCCGCTCCTTCCTCCTCCCTCAATTCCGTTCGCGCTGCTCCACCCGCTTCCTTTCCGGGCCCCTTGTCCATTCCACCCTCGCTTCGCCTCCGCTCCCTCCCTTGCCGCGCGGGCTCCGCCGTCGGCCTCCTCCTTTCCTTCCGTTCCTGCCCCCCACTCCCTCCCTCCCTCTCTCCCTCGCCTTCCTTCCTTCCCGCGCGCTCCTTCGCTCCCTATTCCTCGCCGTCTCAGTGTGACTATCCAATTCTATCGTCATTATATATCTAGCACCTTGGCAAGTTTCTCTAACCACGCACATAATCACTGCATCAGCAGCGTAACATGAAGCCCCACTCTCTCTCTCTCTCTCTCTCTCTCTCTTCTTCTCCCTCCCTCCCTCCCTCCCTCCCTCACTCCTCCTCCTCCCGCTCGTTTGCTTGATCCATCACTGCATTCATGATGTGATATGAAACCCCACTCTCTTTCTCTGCCTCTGCCTCCCTCCCTCCCTCACTCTTCCTCCTCCTCCCTCTCTCTTGTGACTATGCAATTCTATCATCACTATATATCTCTAGTAACTTCGCAAGTGCCTGTAAACGAATATTGTCAGTACAGGCCAGTGAAAAAAATACACGGGGGCTCGGGGCGATTTAGCCCCCGAAATGCCAAAAAGAGCCCCCGTAAATTTGCATAGAGTTCAATTCAAACCAAATTTTAAAGTGCTATTTTCATGCATGCGAGCTTGAAAAGTAGCCCCCGAAAAATTTTCTTTTTTTCCCTGGTACAGGCCACTGTGTGGGAGGGACTCTTTCTGGCAAAAATGAAAATCTCTGTCTCTAAGGACAAATACAGTCTGTTGGGTCTGCAATGATGTTGACTGAAATAGTATTGATAGATAATGATAATTATCTATTATAGTAGTAGATATTATTATTTATTATAGTAGTAGTAGATAGTATTGACAGAATATAATTATGTAGACACTTCACAGCAATTACCATTTCGAATCAGAAATCCCTCGATCAAAACTGAAAGAGCCCTGCTTAAAATTGAAAACTGCCCACTTCAAAATAAACAGCCCTCACTCCAAAAAAGAAATGTCCATTCCGAATAGGAATGTCGTTCACTCCAACTGGGAAATCCACAGCTTCGGATCGGAAATCCTCTTTTCTGACTTCACGGGATTCTATTCCGTATTTTCGCAGAATGTCTACTTCCACACGTCGCTCAAGGACGAGCACATTCTTCTCATCGTCGAGATTGTCTCCAGCACTGGCCCACCAGGGGGCGCCGGCAGGCCTGTCACGAACGGCTGGGGCATGTTCCGCCTGTTCAACTACCAGGGAGATGTGTTGGACGCGGCAAGTCGCGACAGCTCGCCGCAACAGAGGTAAAACAATAGAGCATTCCACGCGCCACGTGCGTCGCGATACTCGATAAGCCATATGAATCGTTTAATATTAATCGTTTAATATTTATATAATGTTTATAACATGAATCATGAAGTCCGCTGTATCTGCTATCCAACGGTGGTAGAGCAATCTATAACTACTTCACTGTTAATGCCTGCTGATAATTTTTTGGGGGTATATTTTTTGGGTCAGTATCATATGTAGTTCAATAGGGACATAGCATAATTCCATCATTGTGCTGTCCAGTTATATATAACTACACAGATCAGTGTCACCACCACTAAGAGGATTGGAAGAGAGATTAGCGAGAATCTGTTGTTTAGTTAGGCCATAATAAAATTATTGTTTGTTTGCCCTCACCCGACCGA